CAAAGGAAGCCTATAAGTGTTTAACATTATAAGAGAAAGGTTCCCTCAAAGTTCTACTTCTAAAGTATGGCACTTATCCCTCCAAAGGAGGGATGTGAATACCTTAGAAGGACTTTATGTCATAGGGAGGAACAGAAGCACAAGATGATTTCTATGTTTGCAAGAAGAAATCAGTCTAATCTAAAGCTCCTCCTATGTTTCCTATCTCCTAAGCCACTTCAAGGAGAAGAATCTTCATGCTCCAAGTTCCATCCTTTGTTTCCAAACATCCTCCAAGTCTTCAGAAGCTCCAACAAGCAAAGCCCAAGCCCCAAGCCCAATTGAAATAACCCAAACCAAGCAAACAAGCCAAATGCCCAAGAGGGGAAACACACAAACATCATACAATTGTAAAAATCAAATAAAATAGTAATACTCTATAAAATCCTAGGTAAATTTCTAAGGGAACCTAACCCTATACCCAATACCCCATATAAACCCCAAGGCCTAAATCAAACCCTAAGTCCCCAAACTATGCCCTAAACTACAACTAGTTGTGTTAAAACCCTAATTCTAACACCTCTCCTATTAACCCCTCAAACTACCCTAAATTTTAGTCACAAAAATATTAAAAAATTCCTAAGGGTACATGCTTCCCTAATCTAATCAACCTCACAAGAATCACTCTAAAATTCCTCACCAAACTCTCACACTAAATTCAGAAAGAAGAAGGTACAACACAAAAATGAAATAAAAGCAATAAAATATAAAAATATGCCAGAAAATGAAAAATGCATGAAATAATGTTTTTATTATTTTATTAAATCCTAGAGGTCCTAAGGAAAACAAGAAAAAAAATCTCAACATAAAATGATTATTTTCCAATTTGTTGTGAATTTTTCCATTAACCTAAAATAAAATGAAAATAGAAGAAAATAATTGCAAAAATAGAAAATGGGCGTGTGGAATAGCAATTAAAGCAAGTGCAAAATCAGAGTTGGGCTCAGGAGGGGGTGTGGATATCATGCGCGTGCTAAGCCCAAAAACAATTCAGAAAACAATATGGAAAATCAAAGAAAATAGAGAAAAGCTCGTGGTGAATAGCAATCAATTCCTTTGTTAATTCTATTGGGCTTCCAAAGTGGGGTGTGGGTAGCATTGGATCTACTAAGCCCAAAGCCAACGTTTAATGAAACGCTGCGTATCACTCTCTTCTCAGACTCCTTCACAAATCATCCATCAATCTTGGTCGTTGGTTTCACACCTCAATCAAAGTCTTCCTCGCATCTGATGGCTATGGACCTTTCTTCTCCAATTCAAAACTCTGGGAGGGAAACATACAGGACGGTGGCCGAAGGTGGCGCCACCGTCGTCCCCAAACCTCAACACCATAAATCCTCACCAAAACTTAACACGAAACACATCAATCCACTCGTTTTTTCACACTGAACAAGAATCCAGCCTCCATTTTCATTGAAACATCCTCCATTTTAAAACACGATAAAGAACTCAGAATCTGCTCAAACCTCAACCATCACCATTCTTCAAATTAAAGGGTCTAACATCAACTACACACTACACTGAGTAGAACTAACCATTCAACTAAGCTTAAATCATCAGGAACTGCAAGAAATGATCCTCAACAGAAAATTGGCTCAACCTAATTTTGTCTCTAAACCTTGAATTTCTTTACTAGAAACCACCTAGCCATCATCTACATTGCATCTAAACACCTAAAACCTAGCAATTCTATCTGAATCATGCCATAAGATGAAGTTTACCAACCTGTGAAATTTGGATGAATAGAAGGTGGAAAGCTTCGAATTATGCTTCAAGATCTTCCAGATTCCTTCAATGAGTGATTATCAAGCTTCTGTATGCATCAATTTGTGTTGAATCCTCTTGAATTACCAAATTCGATTCTGAGTTGCAAGCTTCAAACTCACGATGCTATCTCTTGATTCTTCAACAATCTTGACCAGAAATCTCTCTGAATTCAATCAACAACTCAAGATGAAGACATTGAGTGCAAAAGTTTGGATTGAAATGGCTCAAATTCGTGTAACCGATTTGGATTTGCAAGATGAAAACTCAAAGTTCTATCTCTCAATTCTCTCTCTATCTTCACCAACCCAGGCTTTGAACTAGTTCTAATGTATATATAGAAGGTGTAGGAAGGTTCAAGAAACTTCTGGAATGCTCCAAATGATATTTCCAATTTCTCATGCACTTGAAATTACCATGATAAGTTCATCCATGACAGTCATGATTCAGCTTGTGCAGCACCTTGATCCTTGTTCAATTTCTCTCCAAATGATATTTAGAATGTGTTAGGAGTGATTAGAGCCTTGGTTTTGATCTTGTGCATATTTTGGCATATGTTACTTATGTCATAAGCTACCAAATGCAAATCTTTGAATTTGACCTCAAATGAAAAAACTAATATTGCCATCCTCTCTAAAACACCCATTCTGATCAAATTTATATGTCATATGCACCATTTTGACCTCAAAACAAAAAATCACAAATTTGACTTTTTAAACGACTTTAATTCTTCTTTTTTTTAGGCCATTTTTTCAATTTTGAGATAAAAGTCATTCCAAGCTCTCATGACCACTTGGTTGCACTCAAAACATCATTTTGAACAAGTTTCATGTTGAACATTTTTCCATTTGAAGCTTGTAAATTGGAGTTATGGACCTATGATTTAAATGACCTATAATTTAACTTTCCCAAAATACCCCTGGATTGCCAAGATCATAACTTGAGTTCCACAAATCTCCTTGAGGACTTCTAGTACTCAAATTAAAGGTAAGATCAAGCCCTACAATTCTTATGTTGGCCAAGAATCCATTTGAAAACTCCTTGATGGGAAAAAGTTACTTGGAAGTCAAGTGACTTTCACAGATAAATTTCAGTGTCCTCTGGTGACCTATAACCTGTAAGAACCATAACTTGAGTTCTACAAATCTTCTTGAAGACTTCTAGTACTCAAATTAAAGCTATTGAGAAGCTCTACAAGTTTCATGTTGGCCAAGAATCCATTTGAAACTTGTATTTTGGCTTATGTGGCTTGAAAGTCCAGTGCTATATAGGGGATTTTACCCTAGGAACCCTGTATCAAACACCTCTAACCACTCTTGATTCTCTTGAACTTGATCTTGACTCATCCATACACATGCTTTAACATATCAATCCATGACTTCCATGACCTAGAGATAGGTCTTGATGCCCTTTCTTTGCTCTCCTTGACCTAGGGTTACCTAGATGAAACCCTATTTGTACACACCTCAACTGTGGTTCTTGAACTTGATACCATGACTTGTCTAAGCTTTAATAGGGCTCTCTAGGCCTCCCATGGGATCCATACACACCTCAGGTTCATAATTCCATGTTAATGATCTTCAACACACCTCAAGTTAGGAGAGAAATCCACCTGTTGACACTCAACTCTCCTCAAAGCTTCAACCCATTCCTTGATGACTTGGATGTTCTTCAGCTTGAATAAGGCCCCTTGATGTGCTTCTTTAGATAAGGATGGCACTTGACCCCCTGTTAGATGACTTGCTATGTTATGATATGCAAATGATTGGACCATGTACATGATGTGACTATGCAAATGATAATGCAATTAAAACATAAACCAGGTGAAATAGGTTAAGCAAATTTTAGGGTGCAACACTCTTTATCTGCCCGAGCGTGTGATGCAGTAGTTCGGCTACACTCAAACCATTCTCAGACATTGTTGTCTCTATTCCTCCTGCTTTAACACGTATATAGATGGATGCCATGTTTAATAATTATGAGATTCATCTGGTATTTGAGGAGGCACGAAGTACCATAGTTGAGAGCAATTGGAACTACGTCGACGAGTATAACAAATGGTTCTTTAGGGTGTCACTTGCGTATATGGTACATGCTGCTCTAGTAGATCCACCAAGGGCAGCTCTTGAGGAGATAATAAAGGAGGAGGAGGCAGAGTTAGATCATGTTGAGGATGTCCTGCCTAGATGTCATTGCATAGTGGAGATTGCACAGACAAGTATTGACAAAGGTATCTTCTCTGACGGGTCTGATATGAAGTAGGTCCTAGATGTCATTATGACGGAGACACGAGGGACATTGATGTACCAAAGACAGCGTCGGAGGACAAGGGTAGTGAAGGCTGAGAAACTCGAAAGTGTTTTGGATTTTTCATAGAGTGCTTTCCCACCCATAAGATGGGATAAAAATTTTCTGTGAGATTTTAGTGAACTTTTTTAAATTCACCTCTACAAACATACATACATACATCCAGTAGCTTGTGTGCTTATTTTTTTCCAACGCCAACAAGCTTTTCCAATTCTCCACTATTCTTTTCATTTCCATCATCAAATGTAGAAAGTGACTTATTTGATAATATACACGATAAAAAAATAGTTGAATATTATTTGATTTGATAATGTGAACAATGAAACGATAATTGAACTTATCAAAATATAAAAATACTTAGTTTAGATATGTTATCTTTTTCTGTCTTTTCATTGTGATTCTATTCTAGCAAGTTAAGTTTGTTTTTATCAAAACCCAACTACTATATAAACACATTTGTAATCCGTTTTGAGTATGAAATACAACAAATCATTCATTACTTCCGCTTTAGAAGCTGTCTATCAAAATGGAAAAAGAAAATAGTATACTCACACACACACAATCAACTGAAATATAAGGTTTACTTTAAACGAATATAAATGCATGCATTTCTGCAACTTGCAACTGAATTCAAATTGTTATAAATAACATAAAACACTAACTAGTAACTACATCATCACGCACTTTAGATAATCTTATCCATACATATTAAGAGATAATTTCACAACAAAAAACAAATGTACTAGCAATGAAAAGAAAACCCATCGAGGACGATGAATCGACTCAACATTCATACTAGTCCATGCAACGAACCAACGACCTCCAAACTAACCTGTGCAGCGTCGCATAATACGGTAAAACATCATCGTCCAGTCCACGTCATCAAAATCTTACATATGAATCCACTGAGAGAGCTGTGTCGGGTTCACAATCCCCTTTATGTGGGTCCCATCCATCTTCATTATGCTTGCTACCTCACCGAAACTCTCATGCTCCTCTCTCACATCTGAACCTTCGGCTTGCAAGTACTCGCCTGAGCCAACTCGCGAGTCAGGATAAATACCGGCTCGGGATAGCTTAGGATCAAACTTCTGTCCAAGCAAAGTCCCTTTCGTCAAGAATTCGTGGGCTAGATAGCCGGCTAGAAGCTTGTTAGAACCTATCGGCTTATCCGGCTTAGCAGGCTTATCAGCTTCATTGTGTTTGCGCTTTCTCGTGTTGACAGGTGGCAACATCCTACGGGAATGATGACTCTGACTCTGACTCATCATCATGGGTCGAAGTAGCTTTTTCTTGGTTAAGGGTAAAATAGTAAAGTAGTGAATCCGAGGAATGAAATTCAAAAACCGGGTCCACGGGAGATGGGTTAGGACATAAAAATAAATAAGAAAAACAACTGTTGAAGATAATGAAAGCGACAAGGGAAATCAAAAATAAATAATAGGAATAAATAAATAAAAATGAACTAGAGGAAATTAAAAATTATAAATAAAAAAGGTAGAGGTGGTTAGGGGTTGTGGTTGATAGGGTAAAGAAAGAGGTGGATCAGGAAAACGGCGAATCTGTAGAAGAGGGAAAGAAACCACCGTATGCGGCGGAGATAGATAGATATAATTTTAGGGTTCAGAGAGAGAAGCGAAACTGTGATGATTTGGGGGAAAAGATTAGAGGGATGAGAAATTGGAATGAAAATGGAGAGGGGAAAGGAATAATGTGAAAGAATAAAATGGAAGGCATGATATATTTATGTGATGAGTTCTATTTACGTGTTTATCCCTGAGTGTTTAGAATATAACTATTATGACATTTCAGGTTGTATTCACTGTTTTTTTCTTCGAGAACTACTGTTTCTTTTAATTTTATAAAAATATTTTTTTGACTAAAATTTTTAGCAATTAATTTGAAGTTATTTCTTCTGTTTTAAAATAAATATCAATTTATTATTTTATACATATTAAGAAAAGAAGATAAAAAGAACATGGCATTGTGATTTTATTAAATTTATACTATTTGTTATTAATACACTTTAATAAAATATTAAATAAATTTTTTTTTAAAGAAAGAGATGACGATCTTTCCTAGACTATATATATATATATATATATATATATATATATATATATATATATATATATATATATATATATATATATATATATATATATATATATATATATATATATATATATATATATATATATATATATATATATATATATATATATATATATATATATATATATATATATATATATATATATATATATATATATATATATATATATATATATATATATATAAAAGTATATAATGAATATTTAAAAATTATATATTTGATTACATACAATATAGAAAGTAGAGAAAACAAATAAAATAAATATTGTATAGTGTTATATTATTGATATTGTTATCGTCAGAGATATATCATATATTATTTAGAGTTATATTATTGATATTGTTATTGTCCGATATATTCCTATAATCTTGCTACATTTTTGTTAGATCTTCTCATTTTGAAACGGAAAATCACAATTGTGAATATATTATCTAGTCACTCCAACAATTTTTAAAATATTCTTTTAACTATTGGATATCATGTACCCAGTTATAAGAGATTCAGGTTTTATGTATATCTAACAATCTTTCGTTTTTCACGCCGGAAAGATAATGAGATAGTTATTCCTCTTTCTTATATATACAAAATGACGTCATTTCAGATAACAAGTTTCACACACAATTTGAATACTCTCTCAATATTCACATACTGACTTGAGCGTTGGAGTGATAACTTTGCAGGTACACCGCCCTTTCTCCTACTCTGTCGTGTTGGAAGCTCTCTTTCACCGCAGCCTTCATAACTCTTCACATTTCTAGTTTCGAAATGGAACATTGGCGCCTTCTGTGGGAATTGACTCCTAATTCCCACATATTCTACGATTATATGTCTTCACACTCAATATTGAGTTCTCTACAACCTCTCCATGGGAAATCTAGTGAATCAAAGACAAAACTAAATCACGTTCGACTGAATCAAATTCCACATCGGTAAAGGCGTATCGATTCTCCCAATCTTCGATTGTCGATACTTCTAACTCTTTTAATCCGAATAAATGGTTGGATTAAGAGATACTCGTTCCATCACCGCACGCGAAGTAGCACAAACTACTATAGGTGTAACACCGATAACCTCCAATCGACGGAACACAACACCTCCTCCTTTCGAAATGAACTTCAGTCTAAACGCTCTTCAGCGACCAGATCTAGTCCTTCCTCCACCGAAAGCAAGAACAACTCAAACGCCACCTCTTAAAGTTTCGAATCCGCTTCCTAAGGAGCTACTTGAGATCTTACACGATTTCAGAATTCTCGAGGCGAATCTTGGCTCTCAAGGTGCGAATGAGTTGATCAACGGTATTTACAATATTATTCAACAACAAAACTCAAAAGCGGAAGAAGAAAGGTTCCTTTGTCTGAAAGAAAACCTTCATAACGCTCAGTCCTGGGAGAAGTTGGTGCAAGAAGCCATATATGTTGGAAATCACTCCGAACGACTAGAGTTGTCCGCAGTGAAAGAGGACAAAGTCCAGATGTCAAAGAAGCGATCCAAGGGTGGAAATAATATTTTTCCTCACAGGAATTTGGGTGGAGAGTGAGGTAGCTACGCTCCATTCTCGAATCATGGTAATTAAAATCTGATCGAAATGCAACCTAAGCATCATTTATGTTCTTGGATCCTAGAAAGAAAAATCTTGAAATTAATGCAACAGCATCCCAGAACAGGATAATAAAATGATAAAGGAGTTCCCGATTAACACATGTAACTCATAAGTGAACGACTTAACTATTGCAACACCGAAGAAACGTCCAAATTTAAACTATTAGCATTAACGCTAGTCGGGCCGACTAGATTGTGGTTCAATGGTCTTCATGATGGTTGCATCGAGTCATGAACAGGATTTTGTAATCGGCTTACCGCATATTTCACCGCCTGAAAAAAAAACAACCAGTTACTATAGATACCTTGAGCAACATCACTCAAGAAGCAAGGCAGAGTTTACGGTTGTACATCGATCAATTCACTCAACTCTCAGTAGAAGAAGAAGGAATTGAAGAGATCCTCTAATGTTGGACCTTAAAAAATGGCATACTCCTTGATCATCCCTTCTGCACCTTGCTGGGAAAGAAAAAGGTGAAAACTACTTAAGAGATATTAAACCTAGCTCAACCGCACATCACCTTGGAAGATAAATTAAACACCCTATTTGATAATCCAACCTTTGCTGCCAATGAAAACTCTGAATTCCCGTCGAGGATATAATCTTGTAGGCAAATGGAAGAAGTTGATAAAGGAATGTATGGTCGGTATGACAAGTACACGCCTCTAAACACTTCCCTAGGTATATTATACCTGGAGTGCACTAATACCGAGTTCAAGAAAGCAAAAATCGGACACCCTAATTTCGTCCGTGAGACTTCCCGAACAGATAAATCAAAGTAATGTCAATTTCATAGGAGTTTTGGCCACAACATTGATGATTGCGTCCAAATCAAAGATGAAATTGAGGAATTGATCAAGAGGGGTCGGATGTCCGAATATGTCAAAGGTGGTAAACAAGATCGAGAAGAATCTCTGAAGACTAAGTCTCCCACAAAAGTTTCTGAAACTGGCCCCAGCAGCGAGAAGGGGGAAACTAGCAAGGGAAAGTGCCCATATATCGTCGCTATCACTAGAGGAGAATCTTTGTGATGATGGACATCTACAGGAATGGTGGTAACTCATCGTCCATAATTCTCGACCGACCCATGTTGGGGTTTTGAGGTTCAGAAAAGGTCAAGGGGATCTCAAACGAGTTATTAACTTTGGTTGTCACAACTGCTATAGAAAAGTTTGACATCTCACGAATTCTAACTGACAGAGGAAGTTCATGTGATATCCTTTATTCGTCATTATTCAAAAAAATAAGCTTAGATCAAAGAAACCTAATACCATACGATGACTTGGATTTACAAGCATTTAATGGGACGACCACTCGTCCCTGGAGATATATGGATTTAATGGTATCCGTGGGGGAGGACACATGCATCTACTCTATTAACACCTATTTTTTAGTTATCCCATGTATGAGTCTTTACAGCTGCATCTTAGGTAGACCGTTCACTGCGGCGTTAGATTCAGTAGCCTCACTTGTGAACCTAAAGCTCAAATGCCATAAGCTTCATGGGGTGTCGGCTGTCTTACGCGCCGATCACGAAGCAGGCCAACAGATACACAATGCGCTTCAGTAGGATCAAAGGGAAAACACATGTATAGAGATTAACATGACCTCCCTTATAAGGTAGCTCCAATGTCATTATATCCACACTCCCAAATGTGGCTTATAAAAAAAAATACCTTCATAAAAAGAAAGTAGCGGAATACCCATTTAGCTATATTTCGTTTTGTTCTTTATTGCGCTCATATTTGTATACGCATGATAAAAATGACATGTAGTATAGATATGCAGTTCTTCGTTATGGACAAAGTCACTTAAAGTTTAAACTGTTTGTTCCTTTGTGATAAATTTCAGTAATTAATGATGAAACTAGGGTGTAGCCAACGTAGTTGATAATCGACCTAAAGAGTTCAGAGGTGTCATTGAAGACGCTTTGTATGTCGGACTAAAGAAATAAACCATGTCAATGATGAACGCACCTTTAAAGTCAAGGGGAGTTGTCGGAGATGCTCTGTACGTCCGACAAATGCAATAAACCCCCTTAGCTCTAAACATGCCTTCGAAGTCTATGGGTGATGTAGGAAATGTTTTTCACGTCCGACTATAATAATCAATTCCCCACAGCGCCTTGCACGCCTCTAGAATTCAGGAGAGTTGTTTTTGTATGTATAACTATAGAAACTAATTCCCCCAGTGGGAGACGCTTTGCATGTCCGAATACAACATTCAAATAACCCATGTCAAAGTCATACATGTAGCTAGTGCACCCATTTGGATCTAGCCAATTCAAGGCCAAAAGTGGTGAAGCCTAGAGACGTCCACCTCGATCCGAGTTTTACCTCGGGGTAGGGATGAGGATCCTATAGCCTTGGCCAGGAATTGTTATGTGTGACGCAATATGCAGTTCAAAGCATGATCATATATAGTTGCCGATTTCATTCCCTCTTTTTATTGTGAATGTAGGATTGAAGCATGACCGCATTTAGATGGACCAATATATCATGAATAAAATGTGTACGTCTTCACGTGGCCTACTCATAATTAAGACTACTAAAACCAAC